TCGGTTCAAATGATATGGGAGAACCTCCCATCTAACAATCTCCCGATGTTCAGCTTTTGTAGACCTTTTTTTAATATTTCTTCAATTAAATTAGTCATTGCCGCATTACTTTATGGACTTCTGACGGCCACCATTAATCTGCTTAGGCTGAGTATTTGTTGGCGCTTCACCGAGGTTCCTACTGTTTGACGCCAGGTACGGATGACCTGATGCGATCAGCAGAAGGTCAGCGTTCTCGCGCCAAATTTTAAGCCGCGGGAATGCGATGCGCGTCACTTTTGCTCAATTAGCTTTTCTTGATCCTCTCTTAGCAGTAAGATAAATCAAAATGACATTTTTCCGAAAGAATTTCGATTTTACTATTTGTTTTTCTTTTCGGGATTTTGTTTTTGTGTGTTTTTCCAGACGTTCATGTTTTTCAGTTTCTTTTTTCTCCCATTATACGTCTTAACTGACGTAGCTAGAGTATGTGACACTGTAGCACTGAGGAAATGTCGCTAATTTCCAGGCAAACGATGGCTCCTTCGCCTAGGAAGACACGTACGTCTCCCCGCAAAAAAGCTTGGGCTTCACCTCCAAAAGCAGTTACAAAGAATTTTTCGTCAATTTTTGTAAGTAAAATGTTCTTAGACATTATTAAAGGTTCGGGTTAAATTTAGATAATGTTCTAACTTCAGAGTGATGCTGACTTTTCTCCTTTGAATAGTTCCTGGGCTGAAATCACTGCTAATGATGAGAGCCTCAATGAAAGCATCCTTGAAAATCTTTCCAAGAGTGAGTCACGCCGTGGTCGAAAGGCCAGTGTTCCGAAAAAGGTGCGTTCAGGTGGCAAATGCTCCGAGTTACATCCTTCAGTCTTTCTTGTATTGAGTAGATAAGTTCAATTACGCAGATTAAATTTAGTTTCTCATTAGATGTTTTTAGGCAAATTCGAAGCCAAAATTTGTACGTTCCTTGAATCTTACTCAAGAAGTTTTCAGCAATGGCAGGCGCTCGGAACGTATTAAGGAGAAGGTAATAAACTTCGAGCCTCTAGCTATTTGTTAGCCTTGTAAGGTTCAACAGTACTTAACTACTCTGAGGGCCTTGTGCGGTGGTAACGGAGAACTTCGGAATTTTCACGTTCGAAATCCAAAATGTACCTATTGTATGTCAGGCAAAGAGCTGAAAATTTCGATCTTCAATTTTCACTTCAGATTGAGGTCGTTGTTGTTGAGAAGAGGTCCCAAGCCGATGAATCTTCTCTGCGAACAAAAGAGGTGCTTCATTACTTTTTGTTCACTACTGCAGTCTACGCAACTTCACTAGCTAATGTTTCAGTCCCGCAAACGTCATTTGAGTGCAGCATCGAGCGCTACTTTGAATGAAGATTGCGAAGGATGTTCGCCTATCAAAAGAGCTCCAGCTAATGGCTCGATGTCTAGTGGGCGACCCGCCAGGAAGAATCTGAAGACTAGCACACCCACAAGAAGTCCATTCCGGAGCAGGTTGTTCATAAAGTCTTGCGACCATTAACATGAAACGCCGAGTTTTGCACATTTATCTGATCATTAGCATTTTCACCACGAGAAGACTAATTATTGCCTATGTCTTTGATCTTTTCCCACTGAAAAAGGCCACATATATGAGGTCATTACTATACTTCTCAGTGTCGGTACATCTGTGAGCAATAAGAGGAAAGGTGGCAGGGCTTATTTATTGTGGTTTCAATTTTAATGAACGAAGAACCTGCTTTGTAGATGCCTGTTCCCATCAGAATCAAAGAGTACCTCCGGTGATTTCACTCCAAAAGATTTCTGGGAGGATCCCACTCTGGGATGGTGCAAAGATCAGGCCATTCTCGATAGACGGACTAAGGTAAGAAATCTCATTTGTTTTTGGTTATCATGGTGTCCATACTGCTCTCTATGTTCTAGGAGATTGAGCGTGCTAAGGAAAAGCCAATTTATGCTCGATACTTGCAAGAAATTCCCCGACATATGAGAATAAAAGGAGTTCATCCTCGTACTCCAAATAAGCATATCAACTTTAGCCGTAGATCTTGGGATGTGCAGGTAATAGGTGGTGGTTACCATTCGGTTACCCACGATTCCTAGCGTCTCTTCAGATCCGCACATGGAAACGTAGTCTGTACAACTGGGCCGGTGAGGAACCTTCAGATTCTGTTAATACCTCCTTCTGTAGTTACAGTTCGGATGAACTGAAGCAGGTCGGTTTTTTGTCCTAGCTATTCCGTTCTTGTTAGACTATTCGTAACAGAATTGCTTCAGGATGACGTAGAGCAAGAGAATCGTCCCCAATCTGTGTTCCGAAGTATTACAGAAATCGAAGAGATTCATGTAAGTGGACTATTTGATTGTAACCAACGCTTCTTAGAGTTTCTGTAATCCAGGTAAGACCCGAAACTGACGCCATGGCTTCACTATTGGGCCGTTTTGATATGGATTCACGTAGAGGAGACGAGAGCACGTTGAAGGCTCCGACAAATGGGCAGAGATCAGATGGTCCCGTTGATTTTTCAACGCTCAAAGCCTAGTGATATTATATCTGCGCTAATAAGTTCACAAAATCCTTTTTCGGTCTGTCCATATCTGCGTTGAGTCGAAATTCATTCATTTTGTTCATGGATTTGATAATTGTTTCAGTTATCTTTCCACACTTCTTCAGTAGTCAATTTAAAATCTTCGAATGATAGACCATAATCATTTATGGCGATACTTCCTGTGTGATTAGGTTTGACGTTAAAATCTTGAAATCTGTGAATCCAGCCTGTATTTACGCATTCATTGTCTATTTTTTGAAACTAAAGTTCTGTATGCTATCGCAGTGAATATCATCGTAAGTAATGGTTCAGATTTTGAGAAATTTTGTGATTTCTCACATATTGATGCATTAAGTTGAATTGGGATGTGTTTGAGTGTGCTTTTAGAGAGCTTTCTTTTTGGAACGCTACTCATGTACTGTGACTATCAAATTGCAGGGATTTGATTGAAGAACTTCCATCCGATAGTGATTTATGCTGATTTATGTTGATCACGATGCTGAACGCTCAGAGAGTGTGAATAACGTGGTTCCGATTCCTGTTGTGCTAGCGAAACATGGTATCCTTACTTTCCTGTCAGCTTTTACAAGAAGAGTTGTCTCTACTGGTGTTCAATGAATGGTCTGCGTGTATCTCAGAAGTGATTGACTAGGGATTGCTATAGCTACATTGCACCTAATGTGGATCACTCTTCAAATGGTGCGATATACTTTGTGATGAATTGGAGTAGTGATATGCGACCCTTTGACTATTTATTTATTAAGACCATGACGGGAGCCGAAGGCATGATGGTCCTAAACAATTCAGTCTTGCATTTGCATTGTAAACAGTAAAGGATGAAGGCTTTAACGTTGATCAATTCCGATGTGCACCGCATTCGACTCCAACCAGAAACGTAGTGGCGTAATGAATGCATATTGGCTTATACTGCGGTATCCAGCCGATGAACGATTCAGTGCTTTTATCCTGCCAGACGAGTTTGGTACCACTTAACCAACCCTGGAGGGATGGAAGGCTTGGTTGGCTTCGGCGGGCACCTAGGCGATCTGGGGCCGCTGTCCACTACACCACCTCCGTTCGTTCATTTGCATACTTATTCTTACATTTTTGGGGTTTCTTAACAGTGTATCACGCACTCGTTGGCATTTGAATGGCGGAATGAAATGAAAAATTGCTGGGCGGAAGGACTGTGAGTATGCTGAAACTATTACGGGATGGGCGTCATCAGATGTGCAATTGTCTGATAATTTAGAACTAAAAATATCTTTGCAGAACAAATTAGCGTTAATACACTGGATTATTAGCAGTGATTCACTCGTAATGTCAGCGTAACAAGCCCTGCATTGTCCTTAAATAGAAGGTCTTTGAGCTTCATTAGGCTTCTTTCTAGGAATAACAGAGGAGCGTATATAGCGTAATGAGCATATTCTGCAATGACAGCATATTCTGTAATGCCTCTTCCGAGTCTTTAACTGCTCCTTTATTATTGGAAGAAGTTAAAAGAGCGACAGAGATTCTGTGGGGGTGAAGGGCATTTTAGCCAAGTACCTAAATTGGGCTATAAGTATTCCAATAAGCAGTGTAAGGCTTTGTTGGTATGGTTCCTAAGATCAGATAACCCTGAAATATGTCTTCTTCTCGAAAAAAAAAACCGCTCGGAATCCAATTCTATTCTCTCGCCGTGGATTCAAAGGAACTCGAAAGTTTTGGAGACACAGCAGTACCGTCGGTGCTCTGCTAGAAAGTAAATCAAACCGTTTAAAGACTATCTTTTTCGTAGTCTACTTGTTAAAATAATAATTCAAATTCATTCAATTCATTTAAAATGAATTCATATCATAATTAACTTCGATTTTTAATGAAAACAGGTCAGATTACTGCATCTCAAGAAAATCTGAACAAACTTCTTTTGCTTTACTGTGTTTCTCTCTATATTGGACTGCCAAGTAGTTCAGCGGTAGTGAAGAAAGCGAGAGAATTCGATATTGCTCCTCAAAAGTAGTGAGAATAGTGGTTGGACCAGATAACCACGACAGAGATAACATGGAGGGTGTCTTCGGACGAGATTTCAGTTGCTGCAATTGTACAAAGAGCTGACTACATCGCGCCAGAACTGTGCAGAACTGCCTTTCACTGTCGCTATAGGTCATGACGAATTGTTTGGACTTCCTACATGGGTTCCCTTTTGATCGGTGCAGCCTCTACATACAACGCCGGCGAAACTCGTCTGAGGATACAAATGGACCAATCTTTAAACCTTTATGTCTTCCTAGCTAGGCCGTTTCCCGAACTATTCCCGATATGGTATACGCGGGTGCCTCAAATTCATCATGGGGGAATCTCAGGAACCATTTTTATCGTGAACTGTGCCTTTAATAGAGGTATATATATATATATTGAAGCCACTGAATGAGAGCGACTATATATAGCTTCACTGAAAGGGACATCAAGCTTAGCATCAATGCAATTCATGTCAACTGCTCTCGGCGAGAAACGAGAGGCAATTAGGTGTGATTATGGTCGCTTCACGCGTTGCTTTGCCAGCGATATTTTTTTTTCGATTTTCGAAAGCCATCTTCCTAGTAGTGTTCAAGTATTATTTGCTGTTCACTACCTCATTAGCACATCACTTGTTCCATGACCATGATTCCCGAGGCTAGTTTTTCTCGCCCGTCTCTATAAAAGAAGTGTTAAGTTTCGATATTCGTGGGAATTTATTAGGTTATCAAAAGTAGGTGGGAACTTCCACATTTGGAAGAACTCCTGTAGCTGAAAGAAATCAGGCAGTTTTGTGTAGTTCTTTGACCTCTTTCGGTTATGAGGAAAAGCAGGATGGGGTTAGTAGTAGTCAACAGGTGACTGCTACTGTTATGGGATCAATAACGAACTATACGATTAGGTCAGAGCGAATGTGTTGCAGTGGCAAGTGCTGCACTACCACACACACGTGGGCATGGGTTCGAATCCCTGATCGACATCCGCCTAGGCCAACCAAACCTCTATATCCGGGGTCGGTTGGGAGGATCAAAGCACCTAGTTGTACATCGGGTGGCAAACGTAATTCATTGTATACATCACATACGCATTCAATACGCCACTACGGGTACGGGAATAAATTTTCGATCACACCTAATCAAGCTCGCCTCGCATCTAGGCGCGAAGTGACCTTAATTAGGTGCGAAGACTAAGCGGTAACTATGCTGCCCGCACTCGTTACCAAACGAGTTAAAACTGTCAACTAAAGAGGATAATGACAGTTTGAAAGGATGGTGTTTCTCTTCAAAAAATGAGTTTTTGTAAGGAAAAATTCCAATAGCAATCCCATCAGTTTTGTGAGTTTTACTCCCTTGCACAATAAATAAGTTCAATATATTCACTTCAAGTTCTTGGAAAATGGGCAAAACAGATTGAATTACTTCTTTTCTCGTATTTTCGTTTATTTGCGATATCAAACAAGCTTTACATAAGCGATGTTGTTCTCTAGAGTTGTTTAATATTGAGACTACTTTTCATTGATAGGTCATTGAACGCCCCAGGCCATTCCACAGTTTTTAACTTAACTTTCTGAGACATTACCAGTATTCTAGACCAGTATTCTAGAGACGCACTGTATTTGTTTTGATGAACTTACAGAGGGTCCTCCCGTCTCGAACCATTCGGGAGTGCGCGGTCCGTGTGACCCTCTTCCTCCTTTGTCCGAACTTTTCACTTCTGCTCCGGAGGCCGCAGCACTACAAAATGATTTTTTCGGAAGTTCTGCGTCTACACAGCCTCTCCAAATGCAGCAGGACCCCGTAGAACGTGTAGAGCAATCGCTCTACACGTTTCCTGCACCCCCACAGGGGTGTGGTGCGATTCACGCGCCAATATAATGAGGTCATTCAACAAAACACGCTAAAACATCATGCCTACCAACATAACAGAAGAAATAATCACTTATAAGTAGAATAAGTAAAGAAATAACCAACTATGCACGCTTACAGAAGGATTGCGTTTTCTAGGATCAAAAAATTTGAAGTTATTCTTATTTTGAACGTTTGACAAGTGAATTGACGAACTATGGTGTGAATTCCTAAACTCGAAGGGGCTTCATGGCCATAGTAAAGATATTTCTCTAATTCATGGTGAAGCTGTGGACTACTGCAAATTTATTTGGTCAATCTCAACAGAAAGGTACTGAAACAATGCTGCGTGCGCGAAGAGCTCTAATGGGGTCACGCGTGAATCGCGCCCCCCCCCCCCCCCCCCCCCCCCCCCTACAGCCTTCTCCTAGATTCGATGTACTTTAACAGCTAGGAGCAAGCCGCCAGCAAATACAAGAATTCGTATAAAGATGTCAGATTCATAACAAACAAAACCATCTGAGTTTTTTTACTTATAAGTTTAGATTTTATTTTAGGAACTCTTACTACTGAGGAATTGAACCCTTTTCTCCCATATCACAGAAACTTTAATCACAAAATACTTTGAATTTACTTATCATGCCTGGAAACAAGACTCTCAAAACCGTTGGAATTGGTATTGGAACTTTTTCTCAGAGAAAAAAGAACTTTTTTCAGAAACTAGTCTTTTCTAACTGTCATTATCCTCTTTCGTTGACAGTTTAACTCGATTAGTAGCGAGTGTGGGAAGCATGATTACCGCTTAGTCTTCGCACCTAATTAGGGTCACTTCGCGCCTAGGTGCGAGGCGAGCTTGATTAGGTGTGATCGAAAATTTATTCGCACACCCCGCCACTACGATTTTAAATGGAATTAGAATGCGGGGCGCATCTCTCAGCAGGGATTGATCAACGCCCAAAAGTTTTATCTTTTTTATCCAAGATCAGGTCAAGAAGTCATCGCGAATGATGACTGATTGCTTTCGATTAGCCTTAGTTAGATCCCGATTTTTTCAGTTGAGCTGTGGGTGGAGTTATCTGGTATCGTTCAAAATCCCTATCGGTGCATTAGGTTTCTTGACAAATGGCAAGTTGAACGTTTGGATGATTTGGT